CAAAACCGGATTCTGGTGGCTTTGTGTTGCTCCCGTCGAAGGTTGCCCCATCGCTCCGCAGTGTTGCTTCTGCACTTTGTCGCCCCGTTGCTTTGTTGCAGCTCCTTTGGCCCGCGGCCCCGCGCTGCTGTGCTCCGCTGCTGCATACTTGCGCGCGAATTCGTGCGCGTGCGTGGGTGGTGGGTGCGGGTGCGTGTGCGTGTGCGTGCGCGTGCGTGCGTGCGTGCGTGCATGGGTGTGGGGGGTGTGGGTGTGGGTGTGGGTGTGGGTGTGGGTGTGGGTGTGGGTGTGTGTGTGTGTGTGTGTCTTTGTTTGTGTTTGTGTGTGTGTGTCTGTGTGTGTCTGTGTGTGTGTGTGTGTGTGTCTGTGCGTGGGTGTCTGTCTGTGTGTGTGTGTGTCTGTGTGTCTGTGTGTGTGTGTGTGTGTTTGTGTGTGTGTGTCTGTGTGTGTGTCTGTGTGTGTGTGTCTGTGTGTCTCTGTGTGTCGCTGTGTGTCTCTGTGTGTCTCTGTGTGTCTCTGTGTGTGTGTCTCTGTGTGTGTCTCTGTGTGTGTCTCTGTGTGTGTGTGTCTTTGTGTGTGTGTGTGTCTCTGTGTGTGTGTCTCTGTGTGTGTCTCTGTGTGTGTGTCTCTGTGTGTGTGTGTGTCTCTGTGTGTGTGTCTCTGTGTGTGTCTCTGTGTGTGTCTCTGTGTGTGTCTCTGTGTGTGTCTCTGTGTGTGTGTGTGTCTGTGTGTGTCTGTGTGTGTGTGTGTCTGTCTGTGTGTCTGTCTGTGTGTCTGTCTGTGTGTCTGTCTGTGTGTCTGTCTGTGTCTGTGTGTGTGTGTGTCTGTGTGTGTGTCTGTGTGTGTCTGTGTGTCTTTGTGTGTCGCTGTGTGTCTCTGTGTGTCTCTGTGTGTCTCTGTGTGTCTCTGTGTGTCTCTGTGTGTGTGTCTCTGTGTGTGTCTCTGTGTGTGTCTCTGTGTGTGTCTGTCTGTGTGTCTGTCTGTGTGTCTGTCTGTGTGTCTGTCTGTGTGTCTGTTTGTGTGTCTGTCTGTGTGTCTGTCTGTGTGTCTGTCTGTGTGTCTGTCTGTGTGTGGGAAGGTGGTCGTTTTTGAACGCGTGTTTTGGCTCGGTTTTGAACGCGTGTTTTGGCTCGTTTTTGAACGCGGTTTTCCTCAAGTGTATGTGATTTACAGCAGCACGGCCATTTTTCCAAGTGTCCATGCACACCACGATGAGGCGCACGAACACGCGCCACGATGCACGTGTAGCACATGGATGGCGCCGTGCTTTTGGGAGACAATCGTCAACTGTAGACCCGGCAACACAAAGCACAAGGAACGCAAAGCGTCATCATCATCGTCATCATCATCCTCATTATCATCAACATCGACATCGTCAACATCATCATCATCATCATCATCACCATCATCATCACCATCATCATCATCAACATCGTCATCATCACTACCAGCAACATCACCTTCATCCACATCAACACCAACATCATCATCGCCATCATCAACATCACCACCAACATCCATATCATCATCATGAACAACACCATCAACATGACCATCATCACCATCATTATCACCATCATCATCATCAACAACATCAACATCGTCAACATCGTCAACATCGTCAACATCAACATCATCACCATCATCATCATTAACAACATCATCACCATTATCAACATCAACGTCGACATCACCATCATCATCAACAACATCATCAGCATCATCAACATCGTCATCATCATCATCATCATCATCATCATCATCATCATGACCATCATCAACACCGTCATCATCACTACCAACAACACCACCATCACCACCAGCGCGCAGTCGCACGGTCACGCAGTAAGAGGCGAACGTAACTGCCCCACCCCATCCCCCCCCCCAGCCGCAGGACGCAGTCGCACGGTCAGGCAGCAAGAAGCAAACGCAACTGCCCCACCCCACCCCCCACCCAGCCCCAATACGCAGTTGCGCCGCCACGCAGTAAGCGGCGATCGCAATTCCAGGAGGCTCCGATTCGCAAGTTACTTAGGCCGTATGAGCTGAGGAGGTTTTTGTGTCGCGAGGACAAGATAACTCAGAGCTTGAAATTTCACGAGTTTTCACGGCTTTTTCACGGAGTAGTAACGGCCTTTCAGTTTCCCGCGCGAGTTATTACGGCCGTTAGGCCGAGTTTTCACGGCTTTACGGGGGCCAACGAGCGCAAATCGCCGAGGACATCTGAGCTCAAAAAGCCAAGGTAACTTGGGACTCGGGGCCCCCTTTTCCCAGCCCCAGGGCGCAGTTGCAGGGGCACGCAGTAAGAGGCGAACGTAACTGCCCCGCCCCACCCCCCCCCCCAGCCCCAATACGTCCACCGTCACACAGTCAGCAGCGATCGCAATTACCCCCTTCCCCCAGCCCCAGGATGCAGCCGCACGGTCACGCAGTAAGAGGCAAACGTAACTGCCCCACCTGCCGCAGGATAGCCCCCCATGTGTTCGAAAATGACCCACTCTGTGTTCGAAAATGATCCAGGACATCGGTGTTCGAAAATGATCCAAAATCGGTGTTCGAAAATGATCCCCCTCCCCCCATCTGTGTCTGTCTGTGTGTCCGTCTGTGTGTCTGTGTGTCTCTGTGTGTCTCTGTGTGTCTCTGTGCGTCTCTGTGTGTTTCTGTGTGTCTCGGTGTGTCTCTGTGTGTCTCTGTGTGTCTCTGCGCGTGTGTGTGTGTGTGTGTGTTTGTACAGGCTGCTTGCGCAAAGAACTAGTAGGAGACAACACGTGACATCAACAGTACGAGTTTAAGGAACGTTCGCCTTGGAATGTCCACTCCCTCAGACAGCTCAGGCGTGAATCAACAGTTTCTTGGTTTCTTGTGATCCCAGTGCTTTCAGTTACCGCTATAGTAGCTTGGTAGCTCCCAGCCATCCCCTTAGCTTTTTAGCCTTTTAGTGTTTAGTGGTAGTTTCATTTAACCCGCTAAAAGTTAAACTTCTATCGGGGGATCTGAGGGCAGCCCAGGTAAGTAACCAGGCATTGTTACCTCTAAAGGTTACATGATGGTTACCAGTGGACCAGGTTTCCTGGAACTGGAAACACTGGTGACGTCTCGCAATGGCACAACGCCATGCCGAAGTATCGGCCCATCCCCCAGGCATGTGCCGCCGAAGCGGCCCAACATCAGCTTCTTGACGTACACAACTGGAGGGCTGGCGTGAGTGCTGCTGGGGCGTGTGGCCACCGGTGTTCAATCCAATCCAGAAAAAATCACTGCGATTTAGAGTTTCCTCACAGAAGGTGACCTTGAGGTTTCTATAAACTCGTTTTTGCGCAGACCGATGGAGTCTCGAAGATAAGCTGGGAAGAAAATCACGGTATGGAAAATGGTCTTATTATGTACCTAGTAGCTTGTTTTGGCCACGTTGAGCGGTTTGGGAGCCTAAAACCGTCATTTTGTAAGGGCCACTTCTGTTGGTTGGCGTTCTGCCAACTTGCTAGAAACGTTTTGAAACTTGCTACAATCAGAACACAATTGCCTGAGAGACGTCTTTGGTTAAGTCCTAGTTGAGTTCTTGGTCTTGTTTCATGTTGTTCGGGTTTGTTAGTTCTGCTCTTTAGCCCCAAATCCTCCTGACAGCTTTCTCACGCGATGTGGCTTCAGTGCACGTGTTGCTTCGGAATTTGCTGGCAACCAGCTGGGCACAAGCCTTTGGAGGGCACCAGCATAGCTTGAGAAATGGCCTGTGGAAGGCCAGCACAGCGCATTGAGCCGGAAGCCGCGAGGGAATCAATCCCTGGAACAGGTTTGGTCGCGCCTTTCCTTTGAACAAAGTCGGGTCTCGACGGCGGAGAGCCGTTGTAAAGCGAACATGACAAAAAACAAAAAAGAAGCAACTCATGCCCGCTTCTGTTTGGGGACTGTGCATGCGCAACTAGAGTGGCTCTCAAAAGAACATACGCACGAGCAAACGGATTCCCCAACCAACAAAGGACCCAAACCGATGCTAGGCAGCAAGCCACTCACCAATCAGATGCTGGTCCCTTGTGAGATGGTATTGCAGATCGAACGCTTGAGGATCTGATTGATACTTGACTGCTATTGGGTTTGGATCTTTAGACTTTCACTTTTTTCGAAGTCAAGGGGTTTTCCACTAAACCCACAAAAAGTTAATCTTTTTGTAGAGGGTTTAATAGTAATTAAGGATTCATGCGCCTGCTTGTCATGCATGCTAAACCCGACACTCTCGTTCGAGTGGCTCCGTTGCTTCGGGGATTGGCTTGCCTCTCGCCTCGAGAGAGGCCGCCGAGGCCGCGGCGCTGTTTTGCGTCTCACCAAAACCTTCTACTTGGTCGTCGACTTGGTCAAGTGTTCCTTTTTTTGTTTAACCCTGGTTGTTTTACAGGGAACCTATCACTACAGGACATATTTTGTTCTTTCAGGGAACTTAAGCAAATGAAGGAACATATTCTACTTGGTTAAGAATGGATTTGCTTCTCCCCTGTTGGTAGTATCTTGGAGGCTGGGGGGGAGGGAGGGGAGGGGGAGGGAGGGGAGGGGGAGGGAGCCCAAATAAACCCTTGAAATGGCCTTAATAAGGGCTTATTTGGGCTCCCACCCCCTCCCCTCCCTCCCCTAGCCCCAATGATTTTACAGGCAAGCTATCAGTACTGGAATCCTGGCAACAAGCATTGAGGGTCCCCCTATTTTCTCGCTAATGCGATAGGCAGGCAGGGAATGAGAAATGGAATGACCCTAAGATAAACCATGGGTTTCCTTTCACGGGATCAATCCCCGTTCGGTTGGTTCCCGCATTCACTATTCAGCAGCAGCACGTTATTTGCTGGTGGTTTTAAAGGGAATCCATTTTTTCCCCAGGGGACATTTAGACAGATGGAGGAGTAACAAAAAAGAAACATGCGGCGAGCCTCGTCTGGAGGTATAGCTGTCGGGTGCTGCAGCGACTCATCGAGCATTGCTCAAAGCGGCAACTGGCTGTACTCCTGGAGAATCTGATGCAGCAGGTGCGCGCTGAACGGTATTTGACGTTGCTCGAGGCTTAAGGTGTTTTTTTGGAAATGGATGGGCCAAGACTAATTGTTTATATATAGATATATTATACCCATTTGCTGAAATTAATATTTGTGTATTAAAAATTGTCCTTGCTGGTGTTGAAGGGAATCGATTTCACTACTGGAAATATTGTCACATTTTTTCCAGGGGGCTTCAGCAAATGGAAGGACCGGCTTCAAGTTGCTCGAGGCTGAATTTGTTTTTTTTTTAGAAGTGGATGGGCCAAGACTCGATGAAGCGTGGGACACTGATAGATGCAGCAGGCAGATTGATCGGCCCTCAATCTGAGGCTTTTGTGGTTAATTTACTGAGGAAGCAATCAACTATCAGTCATTTGGAAAAGGCACCCTAAACAAATTGTCCTCCCCAGTGACTTCAGTGCTTCCAGTTTACTCTAGCAGGCAAGACCTATCGGTATGAATTGCTACCTCTAGGTTTTCTCTTGTCTTCTCCTTGTGACCCACTCGTGGCTCTTTTTCGGCCGGAAGGGATGCATTTTCTCCTCGGCGGGAAACTTTTTCGGGTGCCTTTTCCTTGGGTGCGATCCAAGTGGCCTCGATCGGCAGGTGAAAACTGGGGCCCAACAGGTCGGCTTCCTTTCAGTGGCCCTTGGAAACCAAAAGCAACGGGGGGTTCCAAGCAGATTGGCACCTCTGGAAAAGACGGTGCTTCATTTCCCAGTGCCCCCGAAAAAACCCGAGGGTCGCGTTTGATGTAGGGATACTTCTGGTTTTTGGGTCCAGGAATGTTTGTGAGGCTGGCCTTTGCGGGGGCAAAAAGGGGTCTGAGTACCTCCTTAGATGGCCCCATTGTGCTCTGGGGTCCTGTGCTTCTGAACATTTGGATGTGCCTTTGCAACTTCTACACTTGTCCGGACAGCTCGTGTAAGGCCAAATGGCACACACTCGGGCGGTTTATTGCCGCCGTGGTTGCCACACAGCCCCCAGAATCATGCCATTCATTTCAACAGCTGAATGATGTACTTGTGTAGGTCGCAACAGTCGATGAAGTTCCGTACCATGTGCAAACTAGAGTTACTAGCTCACCAGTGTTCATCGGTTTATTGCAGGCTTTTCTGCTCTTGTCCAGGTGCCGCGACTTGTAAAGGACACCTATGGTCACAACGTGATCCGGGCGGCAGCTCGGCGAGTGACGAGGTTTCCGTGTGTCGGATGGGAGCCGTATGCATCACAAAGCGGCTTACTTTCTGATAAGTTGACAGCACCCTCAAAGTCATCTAGTTCTCGCTTGCCCAAAGTCAATCGACCTTTTGACCTTCTCCCTCTTTTGGTAACCATTTTTCGCTTTTTCCCCAAAGGTGATCACCTTTAATTTGTGGGTCTGCTCAGAACAAATGAGAGTTTGTGCGTGTTGGAGCCAAACACTCAGATGTGTCAAGGAGCTTTGCACTGTGCAATGAGCATTGCTCACTTAGCCTCCATGCAGGGTTATTTGTGGGGATCGATTTTGGGAAACTTGTGGGTCAACCAGGAATCAGTGTGCATGTGAACTGTGCACTGAGAAGAGGCAGGCAAGTACGCAACACAGCCGGCGCATTTGCATAGGACGCTGCATTTTGTGTAAATCAGGTACTGTCCTACGGAGAGGTGGAGCATCAGCGGGCCATCATCAGACATGCTTCGGCCTGAGCGGGAAAAATGCCTCGCATTGCCTCGCACTAGCTTTCTGATTGCTATTGGGTTGGATCTTTATGCTTCAACTTTTTGGGAAACATATGGTTTTCCACTGGACCCACCCAAAAGGTTAAGCATGTTGCAGAGGGTCAACAGCAACCAAACGGTTTTGCAGATGTGTCAAGATGCGTCGCTTCCAAGGTGGGAGGGCCTTTGCCTTCGGAGCATCCCCACTCCCTTCCAAATGGAATTGGGGGAGAGGGATGTCGACCCCTGCAACAACTCCATGTATGGTGCCATGTTCCCTTTTGTGGGGAAGAGCAAATAAATGGAATTGGGGGACCGCCCTCCCCTAGGGGAGGTTTTAAGCCACTTTCGTTCGGAGCAGCTTCACGTGTTTCCCTTCTGAAGTGGTCAGCCTGGGCTGTCTAGCCCTGTCTTGGATTCACAGGCCACTTGGTTGAACTGTGTCACCTGCCACTGATCATCGACATAACGCTCGATGCCATGTGTCGCGTTTTCTTTGGCGCCACGCACAAACCGCGTCTGCGGGAAACCATATGATAAGAAAGCAAAGCAACTTGGTTTGCCGATTCGCCTTGGGATGCATCGGGGAATGGCGCTGCGATTGTGGATCCACGCCAAAGGCCGGCTTTAATCAGTGGCATTTTTCATTCCGATAGCTTCCCCAGAATGAGTTCCTTTTTTTTTAAACTTTTTGTGGGTTCCCTTTGTTTTCCACTAGCCAGGCAAAAAACTGTTATTTTTTGCTGGGGTCCTAATTCCAGCCAAGAGAAGTCTTCTTGCTGATGGGCATCGTTTGTTTCGCTCCGCCGGTAGCAAAGCTGGGTTGGGTGTTGGGTGCTCGAGACCCTCGACTGGTCACGTTCCAGTCGTCATACGACACGGTTTTCTCTATGCCTATTCAGCGTTCCCGAAAATGCAGCCCAAGCTCAGAAACGCAGTTCAGAGGCACCCGACATTTCCCCTTAAAAGCGGTCAACCCCTCAAAAAGGTCCCGCTTTTCTTCCAAGGCCACTTGGGTTTCCTGCGCTTGGCAGAAAGCTCTGAGGTGATCAGCAATGTCCTCGAGTCCGCGAGAAATCGGCAGTCCAGCTTGGTACTGGACGGGTGGATTTCCGGCAGTTGGGAGCGCTCAGGGATCCCGTTACCCTTTTTTCAACTACCCAGGGCTTCCAGGCAAGCCACTAGACCATACTAGGTCACCCTTTGGTATGTCTACCTCTAGGTTTTTCATCATGGGGAAACACGGGGTGACTTGCCTGGAAGCCGTACTACTTTTGGACACAACACGAGCCCAAACAAGCGGAAATCGGCCGCAAATCCTTGGGTCAACATTCAGAAGAACATTGTCAAACGCTAGTGCACAATCAGTGCCGTGGGCAAGCCAAGGCAACTAGTCGTGCAGGAAGTGCTTCACTTTACCCAAAGCTTGGCTCCAAATCATGTGTAGCCGCCTGCCAAAAACATGCGCCACGTTGAACACAGAAACTAGGCCAAGGAGCCGGTAGAGCAAATCTACAGTGTCTGGAACACTGCACACCGACACGGAGGAGAAAGACGATACGTGTACAAGTCACCCAGACACATTAGGCCCAAGTTGTTGTCGCATACCAGGATTGCGGCATCATACATTTGCAAGGCCCGAATCGGCACCGAAACCGATATCTTCTTACCTGCAGCCCCCTCAGAATCAATACTGTGAACTGTACACTGTTAGAAAAAATGGTCGGTCGATTTTCACTCCGGAACTTTTTTTCCGTTTTCACACTGTGTCGTTACTGAACGCCCCAGAAAGCTTCCGGACGAAACAACGCCTGCTTGCGATTAGAGTGGGTCATTCTGAACGATCTCGAACGGAATCTCATTTCTGCATGTCCGAATGCAAAATAGTTTGAAATCGAACGCAACTCGAACGCAACAACGACGCAAATTAGCAAATACATGTTGAAAGTTCAAGCCCGGACTTGAACGCTGTTAAGCGATTTCGAAAGGTTCAATCGATTGAACATTCCAGTGTTACTTAGTTGACAGTTTAAGCACGCACAACGCATGAGGACTCGACCGCTGCTAAGCGATTTCGAAAGGGTTCAGAGCATTCCAGTGTTATTTTTTGACACTGCTGCCGAAAGTCATGTTTTTTATTGGCAAACAGTCTGGCAATTATCACACCGAGGGCGCAGGTATAGTCGTTATGCCGAATGCAACAAGTTGCCCCGGAGCTGCCCAAGTCTATGCTTTGTGAATTGCACTTGCAACGACAAATGGCGCATTTCGAGCTGGAGCTACCAGAGTGCCCCTTAGTATATTGCACGATTTTCCAGGCGGGCGAAGCGCCAGGAATACAGCTGATCACGAAAGCTAGCTTTAGCTGTACAGTTTCTTTTTGCAAGCAAGTGCATGTGCTGCATCCCAAGTGCTGGTACCACGGAATAAGGTTATCAACCCAAATGGATCTCCAAGCACCATGCGCTGTAAATTTCGGGCTCTTCGAGATGATAGTGGCTCAATGCGCTCTGAGATTTACACAACTCAAGCTACCGCCGACCGCAAGTGCGCAGGGAAAGCTTAGGTTCGGGTTTGCTTTTGTTGGTGCACAACTCAATTGAACTTGCGCACTTCTTTGTGTTGACCCTCTCACTCGGATCGCTTCTCATGAGACGTGCCACGCGCTACGTGCAAGGGCTTGCCGTACCCAAGCTTTGGACCAGTGGTTTCTCGTTCCATGAGGGGAGGCTGCCAATGGACTTCCAGCAGTTGCAAATTGATTCGCGCTGGCATTGGAGCCAATCTGCCGTATTTGCATGTGGCAACCGGACAGCGACCTCAGGGCTCATGGTGTCGTCACAGATATTTTTTCATTAAACGCACAGTCCAGCAGACATTATATGCAATCAACAATTGCCTAAATTGAATATACATCATATTATGTATTTGCTTCTTCCCTGTCAATCTTACCCTCCCACTAATTCACGTGCAACCTGACGGACGTTCCAGGACCATCCTGAACGTCAGGTTCCATGTGAAAAGGGTACTTCTCCTTTGCGGTTGGCTTGTCGGCCTTCCAAAGAAAAGGCTATGGGCAACTTGCAGAACAGGGTTGTGGGATTAAGGGGTTTATCCCCATTTCTGTGATACAAGAGAATCTCCCCTTTATATGGGGCGGTTAGTCTTTGGTTTGTATCGCAGAAGTGGATTCCATTTCCCACAGGCCTGTGCCAAACTCTCCGAATCCGTGAGGAGAAGTGCCTGGACATCGCCACGGGAGAATTGGTGGAGGAGATTCGGGGGGTCAAAAGGAAGCCATGAGGGAATGGGGGAGGGGGTGGGCTTCTTTTTTTTTTGGTGTCTTCAGGGTGAACTGAATTATGGAATGGGCATTTTGTTGCTTTTTGCAAACCCTAAATAGCAAATTCTTCGGTCTTTGCTAGTTTCCTCCCCGCCTCTCCCAGCTCTCCTGCATCGGCTCCCCCTCCCCGCTCGTTCCACCTCTACTCCGACCAAGCACAACAGCTGGGCGGATGGTACCGGAAGCGCCCGGTAATCCCACCCGTGAAAGTTCCGTACTGATGCATTCCTGAGTTCTGGTTGGTGACTTACTTCTCTCTCCATGAGTTCCTGGACTTTAAACTTGTTGAGAAAACAGGTTAGACTTTGGCGCGCTCATGTTTGGCGACTACCGAGAAGCTGAGCAGTACTTACACAATCCAAATTGACCAAATTTGAAGGCTCAGGGCTTTCACACCACAGGCACCTAGTGGCAGCTTCTTCTGAATAGATGGAATGGACAAAGCTGGCTTTTGGAGTGATAGTGTCTTCCTGCGGTCATGGACGTCCATAGGGTGGCCAGCGGTTGACCATTGCTTTCTTGAAGGGGGGTTGGTGAAGCTAGATTTGCCTCAGCTGAGCGATGAAAGGACTTCAAAGGGGGGGCCCTCCAAAGCAACTTGCCCATGATTTTCTTTTCTAGGTCCCCGAGTAGTGCCCTTGTCTCCCCTTTTTTTGGTTTTTGGGTTCCCCTACTAAAATAGACAAACCAGAAAAGAGAAACGGCACCCTTATTCTCACCTCAAACTTCTGGAGGACCAGTTTTACTTTCCTTTTCAAAACCCCGTAAACCCCCTCAAAACCCATTAACACCCTTAAAACCCAGTAAACCCCCTTAAAACCAATTAAAACCCATTAACACCCATTAAAACCCATTAAAACCCAACCAAAGCGGGGCCTAGTTGGAGACACCTCCGCACGCCGAGTTCGGCTGAACCGGACCCCGAGACGCCGAGGAGCGGATGCTGTTGATGGCAGAGCTGCTGTGGGGCGAAGGCCCGCCGCTCCTGGAGATCATGCCACGTGGCCGGCGTTATTTGGGGGTGGCTCGTTTTTTTTGTTACCCCGTTTTGGGGTCGGTTTACAGGCAAACCAACATCAAAAGGACAAACGAAGCGTTTTTTTTGGGCGGGGGGGGGGGTAATATGTAGATTCGGTGGGCTTTTTTGACGTTACCCTTTTGGGGTTGGTTTAGCGCAAGTTGCAAAGGAAAACGGAAGCATTTTGGCTTTGTGTTTGGGACGCGTTCGTTGACACACATTTCATATTGCTCGGCTTGGAGCATCCCCCATTGGAAACAGTTGGTCTGTGAGTGGTTTCGTACATATACATGTTCACATTCATATACGTATATAGATGTCAAATATGCATATGTACATACCTATAAGAAGACACTGGGTTCCTTTTAGTAGTGATTCATCGCTTTTGGAGGGAAACCCCCCCCCATTGCCCGCGGGTTTTTTTCCAGGCATTTTGACAAGTATGCACGTTTCTGTGGTTGTGGGACATTCCGGTAGCTAGTTCAGGCTAGCTGAATCTCAGGTCGACATGCGCAGTTTTCGGCCAAGTAAGCACACATGGCAGTTAGCGGGTGTGCTTATCATGTGCCAACGTGCGTGAAGCGCGTGAGCAGGTCATGTGCCAAGGTGCAGCTCTGACGTCACGCGCGTAAGCGAGTGCGCTTATCATGCACCAGCGTGCAAGCAGCTCTCACATCATGCGGGCGAGCGGGTGCGCTGATCATGTGCCAGCGTTCAGCTCTGCGAGCGAGCGGGTGCAGGTCTGACATGATGTTCGTGACAGGGTGTGCTTGTCATGTGCCAGCATGTGTGCAGCTTTGACGTGATGCGCGTGAGCCGGTGTGGTTATCATGTGCCAGCGTGCGTGCAGCTCTGCCGTGATGCGCGTGAGCGGGTGTTATGATGCGCCAGCGTGCGTGAAGCGCGTGAGCGGGTGTGCTTGTCATACGCCAAGCTGCATGCAGCTCTGACGTCATGCGCGTGAGCGAGTGCGCTTATCATGTGCCAGCGTGCGTGCAGCTCTGGCGCGCTTATCATTCGGAGACAAGCGTGCAGCTGCCGTGATGCGCGTGACCGGGTGCTTATCATGTGCCAGCCTTCGTGCAGCTCTGACTTGATGCGCGTGAGCGGGTGTGCTTATCATGTGCCAGCGTGCGTGCAGCTCTGACGTAATGCGCGTGAGCGTGGGCGGACGTGCAGCTGTGGAAGCCACTCGGACATGCGTGCGGGTAAATACCTACTTATTGGTAGGACGGGGTTAGTATTCGGGGGTCAACATGACTAAAACAACAAGTCCTGGGGGACATGTTTTGGTTCTGCTCAATACCTTTGGTCTGGGGAATTGATTTTTTGTTGGCTTTCAACGCGTCCCTCATATTTGCGCACTGTGTTCGCGCACAAAAAACGGTGTGGTTTGCTCACATGTCGCAAAGAGGCTGCGACAGAAGCAGGTACAGTGCTGGAATCCTTTCAATCAGACATGGAATCCAATGTGTTTATTTCGACTCAGGGCACTAGCCTCTTTTGTAGTTTGTTGCCCCACACGGCTTCATACTTTCCACTTGAAAGATGGCGTGATGATGGCACTTGGAGATGAGTCCTATCAAATTATCAGGATTGATTACTCGGTGAATAAGCTACATTGGACATTGGATTGAGCGAGTTTCTTCTTCATTGTTACATTTGATGGGATCGGTCATTTCTCAGCTTGCTTTACGAACCTAGGTCCCCCAGTAGTGCCCTTTTACACTTTTTGGGGGGTCTCCACGGGACCTAGGAACAAGGCTGGTGTCAGGTAGCAGCTTTTTGAAGAGCTGCCCTCGGAAGTAATTTAGTACCGTTTGGAGGATGGTTGCATTTGCAAGTGTTGAAGAAGTATGGCCCACATTGGCATGCAGTGAGTTCAGATTTGCCATATTAGATTATAGCGTTTGCCGTTCACATAACCTTTACGGGTAAATTTGTTTGATTCGCATGGCCATTGGCTTTGCTCAACGAGATTGAATACTGGGATGGTTGCGGAGTCCATTTTGCGCCGTTCAGAAACCCTAGTTTGTACTTCGATCCCCCAACGTAATTACCAAGGAACGTTATGGTTTCACTCCCATGGTTTCAATTTGGTACAAAATGCATTTTATTCATCTACAGTATGTACATACATGTAAATTTGCATGGCATGCAGGCACAGAGAGAGCTATACCCGATCACTTGCAACGTCACCAGTCCACGCAATGCACGCGTGTCCAACTAGATTGAGAAAGCCCGAGGCAGGAATGCATAGTGCCCGTATTCGAATTTATGTGTGCACGTATGTTGGTGTATCATAGCCCACCAGTTTCTGTTTTTTTAATTCACAACAGCGTGCATTCTTTGAAGTAACGAGATGGCCTTCTAGACTGTGGGCAAAGCATGTTAGTATAGAGGCGCTTGGCAAGTTGTTTGCAATTCAAAGTAGTTCTTCGAAGCAACAAGACGGAGGACTTCTGAACTGGTGATGGATATAAATTTGGCAGATCGGGCGCTGAGACATGGTGCAATGCGGGCTTTGGGAGGGGGTGAGCTATATTGATGTGTGCACAAATATGTAAATATATATGTATATATGTATATATAATGGTTGTTTAGAAATGCATACTTACAAGGGATGGATGCATCACGCTGCATCCCAGGTTGAATGTGTTACACAGTAAGCCAGTTGCTCCAGCATTCCCTTGATGGAGGCCTGCTTGCATCAAAGATGCCGGTCAGCAACTTGATACTTTCTCCGTGCCAACTTGAGGCAACCTGAGAACCTGAGGCTAGACCGCTTCGGCAACTATATTGCGCAGAGGGTGATCCAAATGAGCTGGGGTGCAGAAGAGCAGCGACTACAGGAGCCACTAGAGCGTGGCTTGCCCCACCGTTTTTCTTCCTGGACCCTCTTTAATTTCCCCTCAGTGGTGGAACAGCGGGAAGCCAACAACACAGGGTGCAATGTCGCACTTTTTAGCTGGGGGTGTCTCAAAATGGTGCACTGCCTTTGGTGCGAATAGGAATGCGATCTTCGTGCCTCATGCTCGACCTACTGCCACGATGCACATGTCGGCTCAAGTGTGTTCTATTCGCACAATCCCGACCGAGTCAGAAGCCACAGAAATAGCCTTATTTTGCTGCTTGTTGCTTGCTTGTTGCTCAGATTCATTCAGGATCGTTGCGCTGTGTGATCAGAACTAGGTCGATCTCTGTGCGCATGTTTCAACCCTCTCTCGATTCTCAGGTTGCACGAGGTGTTGTAGACGGATAGGCCACAACTAGTCTCAGTTTGACTCATCGATCCCTACCAGGTGCATGATAATCAACAAAAAACTCACCTCCCCCCTTCTGCGCCTCTGTCACAAGCAAGCGCCTGCAGGAAATCCTGGAAAGTGTGAAGCCCAGACTTCGGCAAAGTACGCCGCTCGGAGAACAGGGCAGGGGGGCGGAGGGTAATATGCATGTTGCTTGTTGGCTGTGACTGACAGCAAAACAAACAATAGATTGCACACACACACACACACCTAATGATGCATAACTACAGCCATGTGCACATTATATATCTATATAGTCATGTATATTGACTTGCTCGATTGTGTCGACACATGCTGGTACATACCTGACCTCCTGACATTACATTAAAGTACACTACGCTTCTACATACATAGATACACGTGCATATTGAACTTCACATGCATGCAGGCATGCATGCATAAATAATATGTATATATGTATATAATATATATATATATATATATCTGTCCATAGGATACGTAGGCACACATGCATTATACATGCATATACTGTAGGCAGATTTGCATACATGCCGGCACACACACACACACGCATACAGCAATGCACGCATGTGCGCACTGCATACATGCACTTTTGCATACATGCATACATGCGCACATGCGCGCGTTCATTTGTTCATACAGGATTCTTGACGTGCACGCATTCACATATAGATACACTTAATACATATGCCCGCACACAGGTATGTTCATATGTGCCCACATACGCGCACTATAGAGCCATACCTGCACACATGCAATGACATACATAAATGCAACGGGACATTCATGCATGCAATCATATATCCACACATGCACACGTACACACACACACACTCACAACCACCCGCAGACACAGGGATACACACACCCACATACACAGACAAATGGACACAGACACATACACGCGGCATTCATACATGTATACATACATTTGCATGCAAGCAAGCACATACAGACAGACAGACATACATACATACTCACTTAATTACTTGGCGACTTACATGCACACGCACACACACACACATACGCGCAATCGCACCAGCACAGTTGCACACAGTGACACATACGTGCATACATACATGCGTGCATACATACATGCATACACGTATGCACACACACACACACTCTCGAAATCATACACATACACGGAGACGTGCATGCATGTGTGTGTGTACGTGTTTATGCATGCATACGTACGTACGTGCGTATGTACGCATCCACGATGCACAGGTACACAGATACACACATACTCACATACACATACATACCCATACGCATACATACCCATGCACACACACACACATACATGCATACACACACATACATACCTACATACACACATACATACATACAGACATACGTACATACATACATACACACATACATGCATACATACATGCATGCATGCATACATACATACATACACACGCATATGCATACCCATGTGCATACATGCACACATACATAGATGCACGCATCAATGAATGCATATAGACGTGCTAACATACACGTCTTGGTTCCTTTGCACTTGGCAGGTAGGGTCACTACTTTCAAGAGGCTGAGGAAATCAATGCTTGATTCATCACCGGCTTTGGCTGCAATTTATTCTGGCAGGGGTAGAATTCGAGGAAACTGCCCTTGCACGACGGTGCCTTAGGTTCGATGGTCAGGCTCCAGTTTTTGGAGGCCAAGCCTTGGTTTGCCGAGGAATGGCAAAAGGATTCTGCAGGCAGCGCGGCGGAAGTTTGGAATGTGACCCAGCCGGGCGTTCTGGTTGCAGTTCTTGTGATCTGACTCGCGCTGTGGGCAATCGCTGACCATGGAATGTGCTGTGCCTTTTAACCAGTTTTTCTCTCTGAATCGGCCGATAGAGCTGCAGAGTGGGAAAGCTGCAGAGTGGGCCGTAACGCGAAATGCCTGTCGGCTTGAAGGTCCAATGCATATTTACACATCAAGTTGTTGTGTTTGTATTGCTCAGTTGCCCAAAGCGAATCGACCGGATCTGACCTTTTAGTTTCTCCTTGGTCTAGTTTTATTCATGACCCCAAAAGGTTAAGCCTTTTTCTGGGTCCTTTGGGCAAGTGAGATTGAGTTTGACAGAATTTGGCTGAGCATGATTGCGGCTAGCTCATATCAGAAATGACCCTTCCTTTCTCCAACCAACGCGTGTGCTATATATATATATGCAGCTTGGCCCAAGTTGCAGAAGTCTGTGAGACGTTAAAAAGGCCCGTGCTCATCTCGGATCCACGAAGGATTCGACATGTGCAGGGGCGCATCACGCACTGGCTGTAAAAATCAGAGTGCGGAGCGACATGCACAAGCATTGCGCCTGAACCTTTTGAGCATCTTTTGCGGATGTCTGGGAGATCACGTCCCCCTTTGGGCGCCTTGTTGCACGCCAGCCGCTTTTGCTTTGGTGTCCTGGCGGGACGTGGTTCCGCCCCAGAGTTCTGGTAAGTGCAGCACACGCTGTGCTTAGCTTGCGGCCAGGCAGGGCAAAAGATCCTTTTTCCAAGGTTGCCCTTTGGGTTGTAATGTTGATCCCATACCTGGGTCTAAGTCTGATTTTCCGCCTTTCCGTGGAAAACTGCTTTTTCAGGGAAGGTCATCATATTTTTGCCTTGAGGCGATTTTCCTGAATCTTGTCATTTGTATGCAACAAACTGGCGGAGGGGCCTTTTCCCGATACAAGGGCGTTGTTCCACGATAAGGTGTTGTTTGCCGAACCCTGTCCCATAGCACGTGTCCCAAATGCCCCCTTTTGAACGAGAAGCCGATGTTCGATGGGCGTGACGGAAATGTCTGTTGCAACAAGCCGAAATTCTTCACTCCGGGTTATCTAGAATATATTTATCAACCCCATATGAATAAGGGGGTATCCGATTTGCCAATCCCATCAGGATGTGAGAAGGAGGGAAATCCACCAAATATGAAAATGATCATGAATATGGGTGTGTATCTGTGTGTGTGTGCGCCGCTCTCTGGGAAACTTCCGGTTTGGTTTGTTCTAAGTGTACGCCAAGAAGAATCTAACACTTGTTGGATGCCCTGCTTTGAGAGAACCCAGCACGCATTGAATCGTCCCGAAACCTCCAACTGCCACGCGCTTCTTTGGAAGACCATTTTATTGGTGATTGATAGCCAGCATCCCGGCATTCATTGTTGCTTTCTTGGGTTGACAAGTTGGCACCGTCACTTCACCCTCACACCGACATTTGCTTGGCCTTCAATCACGGGACTGCGTTTTGTTCACAATACACTCCCTCAGACTAACATGGAAGCTCCCAGAAGGCCTCTGTAAATGGAGCCAAGTCTTCTAAAGGGGTCCTGGGAGCTTCCATGTTCGCCTAGGGTACCCTGAACTTATGGCGAAAGAAACGACCGAAGCCATGGGTCCTTAGAGTCCACGGTGCTTTCCAAGTTGCTTGGCCCCTCAAGCTGTGTCCGGGGCCTTGCCCCGGGGTTTGCGTAGCCGTCTCATCGCACGGCAAAGGATGGCCCCTTTGTGTCCCAGTCTTGAGCGTCGCGGGTGATGGGGCCTAACAGTAAGCTCGCGTGTTGGAGCCTGGACAGATCCGCTTGAGATGTCAAGCGATTCCCGGAGTCTTGTGGGCATGTTGGTCTTTCAAGCCTTTGGCGGAACCCCCCATAACTGGGAGTTTATGATTTAGGGGTCAGCAATGGTCAGCGCAATGGATGTTGCCTTAGTGGCGACTTGTTTACATCATGGCTTTGAAATTGAGAGATGGTCGCAGTAGCACAAAGGGAAACCAGCTGCAAGCCAAAGCCGGATTGGGATGGAGAGGGGTGGCTACTGCTGATGCAAAGTCAGCCGCATGACGGTGCGGCCGGGGAGAAACAGTGCTGTCATTCAGGATCAACCGACCAGCTGGCCTATCCACGTTCAGCTCAAGTTTTGTTCCTATCAGTGGGAACTGCAGCTCGTATTTGAATCAGAAGGCCTTAGGCATGCTGGCCGGTGGTCAATGTTCAGTGCCTTTCTCGCTCGCATGGTTTGATCCTGTACCAAGTGTAAAGCCCAGTGGCATTGGCATTTCACCTGGCGCAAGAAGGCCAGCTCAACAAGGCCAGTGCCTATTGGCCACTTCCTGGCCTTGTTGGGCGCATCGGGCAAAAGCATACGCACACAGCACAAAAGCACCGTGTTTTTCTTCTTGTTCCTTCTCCTTTGTCATGTCAAGCATTCGTGCAGGTCTTTGCGCGAAATGTCCAGCCTGTCGACCTGAATACCCCGCACGAGAGGGAAGTGGCAGCTGTAGGTCAGCCATACAGGCTTGTAGGGTCATTTGAACGCATCTTAGTGGGCACCTCCATTTGGTTTGAATGTAGAGCTAGATCAGCTGCAGATTCTTAGATACTTGCCTCTTTTTCTGGGCTGCCACGGTGCTCTCTGCAATGTTTTGCATCCGAACGCGGCATGTCTCGGACATGCGATGTGAGTGAAGTCTTCGCACTCCAGATCAGCCTCAGCAAACGGCCCGCATGAGCAACTGACAGACTTGAGTAGTGGAGTCGTTTGTGGAATTCCCCATTTCCCACATCAGGCGGGTCCTTAAATTCTGAGTATTCATTTGGGGCCCAGAGGTCTTGGAACGTTGAGCTGGACTTTGTAAGCAATTCTTGAGTTTGGGCATGTGTGGGCACGCAGTCCTCCGCAGATCTTAAACTTCAACAGGCTGTGTCAACATCATGGACGACTTCATGCTGTTGAGACAAAAGCAGGCATCCTGCAAGTGTTTGCTGGTTCCTCCGCTGCAAACATCCCAGCAAAGATTTGTCATAGGCGTTTTGCTCATGTCGAGTCTCGGCTGATCTCTTCGGAGCCAGGCCGCTTGGCCTTTTGAACATGAGGATAGGGCCCTCTAATGCTAGAGGGGGGAGTCAGGGCCCTCTAATGCTAGAGGGGGGAGTCATCAATCCCAAAGTTTGTTTTTGATGCATTCGGACCAGGCGCGAAATCAAGCTGCTTATCCAGTGCTTTCAGGCAACCCACCGTAGTGGGTATAGCCAGGGGTTTCCGATGATGTAAAACCTGGAGGTGGCCATGCCGAAGGGTTACCGACTATAGTGGGCGCTGGAAGCACGGGGTAAGTTTGGCCCAAAGTCCGTTCAAGTCAAGCAGCCAAGACGCGAAGACTATGAGCCACACTGGCATGGCGTCAGAACCCCATTCGATGGACACTCGTTCCACACCGCAGAACGCATCCTGACTCTTGGGGATTCTGTTAGCAGTGCCAGTAGGCAGGTATCACCATACGTTCGGCATATTTGGCAAGTACGAATCTTGCCCACAGATTTTGGCCTTCGGCTTGAGGGCAACCGTATAGAGCAGAGCAACTGGAGGCACAAGGCGGTTCAAGGGCGCGTAGCCCAGAAGATGCACAGGCCTCGTACCTCCAGCAGCCACCTGCAGGGCGTTCCTGACGCACTCGAATTCATGGCTACAGGGCAACAGGGGCGGCTATGTTTCTTCACCGGGGCCTGGGTCACGGGCGAACCCACGGCTGCCATTGTTGCCCCCCGGAACGCCAGCTAGCGAAATGCCACTCTACGCTTGCAGCTGTTGACCGTCCGGCGTGACAAAGCCTCAAGGCACGTGTTTGTGTTTCGACCTCTTTGGAAGAACTCTCACACGTCCGGCGCCGGCTGCAGAAGGAGCACTCTTCTCCTTCTTCTGGCGACTTGTTTTTTGGACAGACCTTGGGATGCACGTTGAACAATTCAGTGTGCTGGGAAAGCCAAGTAAAACTCATGGGAACCAAAGCCACGAGCGGTATGTGTTCGTAGTTTTTTTGGGGGCCCCAAACAGCGAAACACCCCACCCGAACAGCAGCATCACTTCTATAGTCAGGGTCTCCAAGCCATTCTCCTTGGGGTTACCTCCAAAAGGGGGCAGTTGTCTCAATGGGAACCAAATGGGTCAACTTTTGATTTGGGGAAATGCAGTGGCCCCTGAAGCCAGCACATTGTCAGCCCCAGCTAAGCCCAGCTCAGCCCCTAACGCCATCTAGCCCCAGTTCACCCTCTCTAAACCCTTAACTAGGTGACTGGATCTTGGGTTTCCTCTGTTCGGTCCATGGTTTGTAGTCCCAAAAGGTTGACTTTATTTTCTGGGTCCTTTGGACAAGGGAGTGTCGCAACCTATGGACAAAGTCCTCCGCTGTTCAAACCTTATTGGCATAGATAAAATTGGTTGAATGTCGCCAAAAGAAGTTGTCCAACTACTTCGTTGCGTTTTGGGCCCTATCTTACGAACCCGTAGACTTGAAACCACCTAACTTATTGGTGTTCCAGTTGGTTTTCTTTTTTCTGCCTGGAGCTGAACACGCCGTCGGTTGAACAGCCTCGAGGCGCTTGCCAACCGAGGCCTAAGATTCACAGCGCCGTTCGGAGCCACCCGCAGCTCCCAGATCATTCGCGAAATGAAAAGCGATTGAGCGAGAGTTGGAGGTCTCAGCATGAATGGCTCGTCCTTTTTCTTCCATTTGGTTAAGAATATGTATTACTATATTTTCCACTGCAAAGGGAATCTATGACCGCTGGAAATAGGTTGTTTTTTCCAGGGGACTTAAGCAAATGGAGGTCTTGGAGGAAAACCACTATGTTGAGGTATTTGAAGGAAAACCAAAAGGAACGCCACTTGTTTTTTATTGGGGGGTGTCCCCTAGCCATTTGGTTGTGAATTGTACTTGGGTACCCTTCGGACATCATTTGAGTGGGGATTTATGTCAT